TCCCAAAGTACTGGGATTAAAGCGTGAGCCACCACGCCCGGCCCGTCTGTTCCCAATTCAAGCAGACAGCTCCCACTCTGGTCATTCCATTCACATTTTACAATAGCCCTATTCACTGATTGGGGTGACTTCTTTAGCTAGTGGATGTTTGGTGGCTTTGTGACATCCACTTTATATTTTAAAACTAGTGAGCTCTTAACTACTTCTGGGCCTGAGTGAACTCTGTTCCTCACTTTATTCAACTCAGGCAGGTGAAACCAGTGGGAAACATATTCTTCCATCTCATAATAAAGGTTGGTTTTCAAGTACTGGAACCAATATGTCTGCTCTGAAAACTTAATAAACCAAAGGATTCTAATCATATCATTACCTGTTACGAATGCATTGGCTTTGAAAATGAGCTGGATAGGCCGGGCGTGGTGGCTTATGCCTGTAATCCCAGCAATTTTGGGAGACCGAGGCGGGAGGATCACTTGAAGTCAGGAGTTCAAGACCAGCCTGACCAACATGGTGAAACCCCATCTTTACTGAAAATACAAAAATTTGCCAGGCATGGTGGCATGTGCCTGTAATCCCAGCTACTCAGGAGGCTGAGGCATGAGAATCACTTGAACCTGGGGGATGGAGGTTGTAGTGAGCTGAGATTGTGCCATTGCACTCCAGCATGGATGATAGAGTGAGACTCTGTCTCAAAAAAAAAAAAAAAAAAGTAAGAAAAAGAAAATGAGCTTGAAAAACAGCATATATATATCTGTGTGTATGTATATGTGTGTGTATGTATATATTTTAGAGCCAAGAAATGTGTTTGCTACACTGTAGTAGTCATGATCTTGAAAGACAAAACCGAAATAAAGAAAAAGATGCACATAATTGACTATATGAACATTACATTTTTTGATTGGAAAAAGATGCCATAATCAAAGTCAAAAGTTGAATGAAACCCCGAGGAAAAGTTGTATCACATGTGATGAAAGTTTAATGTTCCTAATAGATGAAGAGCTGGTATAAATTGGTAAGTAAAAGTCAAGCAATCCAGTCAAAAAAAAGGATAAAGGATATGACTAGACAGTTCGCAGAATCGTGCTGCCCCAGAAATGTGAAAAGATGTTCAATCATGCTAGTTCAATCGGGAACTGAAAATAAAAACTGTAGGATGCCTTTTTTAACCCATCGGCTTGGCAAGCGTTGAAAGTGCTAATCAAGTCCAGTGCTGAGGGAGGGCAGTGGGAAAGGAGCCCTCCTCCATTGCTGCGGCGGGCAAAGCGTACAGCCTGCTGGAAAGAGAACTTGCTTATCAGCACCTGCCATGCTCTACGCCCAGCGTGTGCAAGTAAAACGTGGGTCCTGTCCTCAAAAAGCTCAGAATAGAGGGGACATAGTATGAATTTAAAAGGATACTGCCTCCAGTGCTGTAGTGGAGGGAGGTACAAGAAGTGGAAGTGAGCACCCTGTCTAGGGGCACGGAGGCAGGAGTGGACTCAGGAGAACCTTCCCAGGTGACATGTCTGGGCTGAGTTTTCAAGGTTCATTGTATGTGTGAAGATCATTCCTGGCAAGGTGAACTGCCAGAACCTGGCTGAGACATGGAACAGCCTGGTGGGGGGCATCCCTTAGGTAGTATGGACACTTTGTGGTGGCAGGGAGGGAGAAGCAGAGGGGATGAGATAAAGGCCACGCCTTGAAGATCCTGTGTGCCACACCAAGGAGTTCCGCCTTTCCTACTGGGCTTTATGGAGGATTTCTGAGACGGAACGAGGGATGATTTGGCCCATACTGTAGAATGTTGGGAGTGATCTGATAGTTACATTAAAGGGTGAATATTGAGGGTAGAGAGACTGGTTTGGAGATCTGATGTAGCCTCGGTCATGGGCAATGATGTCTGAACAAGGAGAGTAGCAGTGGATATGGAAAAAAGGGATTCCTATCAAAGAGGCTTGAAGACTGAGCATTGGAGACTGAACAACAACCACAAAAAATCAACGATGACTCCAGAGTTTCTAGCCTGAGTGATCAGGAGGTTAAAGGTAACTTTAATTAAGCAATGAAATGCAGCAGGAGTAAACTTTGGGAGGGAGTGACGAATTTGGTTTTAGACTCAGTGGTAGCTGTCACTTGGACATGCAGATGGAGATGTCTGTCACTTGGGAACATACATCCTGAAGCACAGGAGAGCTGCGAGGACGGGAACACCCACTCTCCCCATTTGCCAGATTGTTCTGAGGTGTGGTGTTTGATATAGAGTTGTGCAGTATTTGAAAACTTGCAAATAACTGGTTTTTTTCCTCCCCTTAAAGATACAGCCATATGTGAATGGAGCTTTGTACAGCATCCTTTCTGTTCCATCCATCCGTGAGGAAGCAAGAGCAATGGTAAGAAAGCGTGCCTGAGAAACACATGAGCTTCCTTCAGTGCCACAGTTACAGTTCAGAGCTTTTAGAGCAAGACCTCCTCGATTGGGCTCCATAGAAGGGCTCAGATCCTTTACAAACTCCTTGAAATTGTAGGCGAAATGTATATTTGCCATTTCCCGGGGATGGAGTCTGCAGCTTTTATCAGATCCTCAAGGGGATCCCTAACTCCTAAATGGTTAAAAATTAAAGTGTTAAAAAGTTCCCAGCAGGCTGACTTTTGCAAAGTTACAGACACTCTGATGGCAACCAAATGGAAAAGATTCTAAAACTGTCTAGGACTTGGTTTGGTTGGTAAATAATAAACTCAGTATTTAATGTGTATGTTAATACTTGTATGTGAAGTAAAAAACAAACCTCAGGTGATTAGTATCTTATTTTGAAAGGACAAATGTTTCTAGATCTAATCAGCAAAACAGCTAGAGTTTTGTCCTTTTTCTTTCCACCATGTGAAATCAGGTTAACAGTGTATTAAATGCTGTGACAAAAGGAAATATATTTCCCCCTCAAAACACAGGCAAAATTCTCATTGGGACCAATAAAACATTCTTCTAATTGGTTTTGCTTACTTAGAGGAATTGCTAAATCTTCTCGTTGATCATTTAAAATTACATCAAGAGTTACACCAGAGATGAAACTGATTTAAGAACCATTCTATGTGATCACACTAAAACAATGGACCTTAATTGCCTACTGCTTTTAAATGTCACCACAGAACAGGGGGAAATAAACTTGCTGAAATTCTGCATTATGGTCATTTCAGTGAAAGAAAGGGATTGCCAACCAAGGCAATGAAGAGGAAAAAACATGTAGGCTGAAGAGAAAGAATGGAGGTAACATTCCAAGTGTGAAATGCAGCATGGAGGAAAGACACCAGGTCAAAGGGATGGAGGGGGCGGGAAGTGAAGCCGAGGACAGGGGCCATGTGAGGAAGAGTCACAGTTGCAGCTTGTGAGAGAAGGACTGCCCTTAGAGATCCCAGAGCAGGGAGAAAAAAGGCGGAAGAGAGGGACAGAGCTTCGGAGACCTATGTGACAACATTAGGTCTGACAGATCCCCAATAGGAGTTGCAGAAGGAGAGCAATGTGAGCAAATGGGGCGGAAAAATGATTGGATAAATAATGAAGACACATAGTGAAAAATATAAACGTAACAGTAAGGTGTCTAGGAAACCCCTAAATGTTTGGAAAATAAACAGCACACTGGTATTATCTATTACTGCATAACAATTTACCCCAAAGCTTAGTGGCTTAAACAAATTTTTTGTTTTTGTTTTTGAGACAGAGTCTGGCTCTGTCACCCAGACTGGAGTACAGTGGCACAATCTTGACTCACTGCAACCTCTGCCTCCTGGGTTCAAGCGATTCTCCTGCCTCAGCCTCCCAAGCATCTGGGACTACAGGCATGCACCACCACACCCAGCTGATTTTTGTATTTTTAGTAGAGATGGGGTTTCACCATCTTGGCCAGGCTGGTCTCAAGCTCCTGACCTCGAGTGATCCGCCTGCCTTAGCCTCCCAAAGTGCTGAGATTACAGACATGAGCCACTGTGCCCAGCCGATTTTTGTTTTCGTTTTTGAGACAGAGTCTTGCTCTTTTGCCGAGGCTGGAGTACAGTGGCCTGATCACAGTGCACTGCAGCCTCCATCTCCCAGGCTCAAACCATCCTCCTGCCTCAGCTTATCCAGTAGCTGGGACTATAGGTGTGTGCCACCACAGCTAGCTGATTTTTTTTTAAGAGACGGGGTCTTGCCATGTTGCCCATGCTGGTCTCAAACTACCAGGCTCACGTGATCCTCCCATCTTGGCCTCCATGCAGGGATTACATGCATGAGCCACTGAGCCTGGCCCTTGAATTTTTAAATTACGGTCATGCACCACGTAACGACATTTTGGTCAACAAAAGACTGCATATATGATAATGGTCCAATAAGATTATAATACTGTATTTTTACTGTATCTTACCTATGTTTAGAGATGCTTAGATACACAAATACCACCTTGTTACAGTTGCCTACAGTATTCAACACAGTCACGTGCTGAACAGGTTTGTGCCCTAGGATCTTATTGGCTATGCCATATAGCCTAGGTGTGTAGTAGGCTATACCATCTGGGTTTGCCACTTACTCTATGATATTTATGCAATAATGACATCGTCTCACAACACATTTCTCGGAACATATCCCTGTCACTAAGCTACCAATGACTGTTTCTCTGGGTCAACATTCAAGATAGCAGAGTAGTCCTAACTAAGAGTTGCTCAGTTTACAGTTGAGACTTCAGCCTCTGCTTCCAAGCTCACTCACATGGCTGTCAGCAGGAGGCCTCAGTTTTCTTCTGGCTGTTGACTGGGGACCTCATTTGCTTCCCCCTTGGAGCTCTCCATAAGACTTCTCTTGACATGGCAGTTGGCTTCCCCTAGAATGAGTGATTTGAGAGAGAAAGTAAGCAAGACAGAAGCCCCAGTGTCTTTTAGAGAAACCTACTCTCTAAAATGAGAGTAGAAATGAGATACCACCGCATTTATTTTCTTGGTTACACCGACCCACCCT